TGACTCAGTCGTGTTTTGAACCCACGACCTCCCGCACCCGAGGCGAACACTCTAACCACTAGGCCAACGAAACGGTTGATAGGGAACAACGCGACATATTTAACGTGCAGTAACATCATTTAGGCAAACTGTACTTTGAAGAAACATTTAATAACTGTTTGCTTTATCTTGCAGACAGTTACACAGCTCATTTCTAAGTTTGGTACCATATTGAATCATTGTGTTCTTCATGCGTAATATATATATATATATATATATATATATATATATATATATATATATATATATATATATATATATAGACATATATAGACATATATAGACATATATAGACATATATATATATATATATATATATATATATATATATATATATATATATATAAAAACATATATATATATATATATATATATATATATATATATATATATATATATATATAACTTCCAGGTGATAAAGTACGGAGTTCATGGTGAAGAATATTAAAACTGATTAAAAGGAATAGAAAGAAAGCTACTTGCACCTAAACTGCATTAATTTCCTGCCAGTAAAATCCATTAAAATGTAGATAGGCATGGTTTCATTTACTCGAAGTGCGGAGATATGTGACGGTTGGAGTGGCTGAGGTCAAAAGCAGATCGTGCCTAACACGATATCAAGAAATATCGAGATTATTATAGTAACAACTATAATCTTTATGTAGGGAGATCTAGGAGAAATTTATTTAAAGACGTCAGTATAATTCATAAATCAGTATTTTTTACCAAAACATGTTGATCTGGTTTCTTCAGAGGAAATTGAGCTCAGGTTTATTAATGAGTATAGAAACATGCTGATCTGCTTGGAGAAAATTATTGTGGTATCGCATTTGCCCGGAACAATAATTAACAATATTCCGATGTTCAGATCGGAAAAAAAGATGCAGCGAGTATGTTATCTGTTGATACAACCCTATCTCACTCACGGGCTGGCTCACTTTTTCTCGCCGACGTAGAATATTTATATGTAATAATATTTACCGACAGTAGCAAACTCGTAATTTAGGATTGGTTATGCTAGGAACTATGTCACCCTATCCAGTCAAAAACATATTCTTGCTACTGATCATCTAAAATATGCAAAAACGAAAAAGAAAACACCTTTAAATTATAATTGATTTTAGTGGTCATATTTAGACTCTAATAGACATAATATTTATTTATACATATTAAAAATTGTTCTATGCACGAAGTTTGCAAACGAAATTATGAGCGTAAATTAATTGCAAAAAAGTTAATGGATTATATCATCATTTTAGGAATTACTTGATTTTTCATCCTTTCTATTGTTCATATCTTGTAACTTTTGTACCGAGATCTGTTTCCTGTTCCCATAATTTTATTACCTATATTCAACATATCTCGTTTGTAACATACATGGGAATTGCAAAATAATATGCAGGTGTTGTACAAGAAAGATTTATCTTTCACAATTGTGTGTATAAAATAATGAACTATTACCATATTCCATTAAGCTTCAGTTTACGTTAAGTATAGTTTGTTTCATTAACTGATAAACTGAACAAGAATTAGCTTTACTGAAAGTGGATAAGGTGTGTTTAACTTGCTTCAATATCATCAAAAGGCTGAGACGTTTTTACATTACTTTAGCAACTTAACTCTACCAGCGCCTGCTGGCAAATTGTTACTTTATATATAAGTTGTAGCTCAAAGTATCACTATTCCCCACCCCCTCCCCTCCCCCTCCTCCCGTAAAGCTTCACTGTAAAACTCGGGAAATTAAAAGTATTCTGTGTGTGAATTGTAACAGCACTTTTCGAATTACGATTTCAACAACCATTTCTCGCTTTAAAAATATGAAGAAAAAAATCATTATAATTAATTTAAATTTTTAAGTTATTTTTTTTTAGTGAAAACACTACTTTAAAACATTGCAACTTAGTATTAATTAATCGGCAATTCAAGTAAACGTTATATATGAGGAAAAAATTGTTATTAGACAGTTGTCAGCATCCCTGTATATGGCACACGTTTGCTGATCTTCATTTCAAATTGTATCGTTTTTATAAATACCTGCAGATAATATAATTTAGATGCTGTAAGTAAATTACTTTTTGTTTTGTTCTTGTCTCGTTTTTGCCCTTGAGAAAGTAGTATGTTTTATTCGAAAACCACTTGGGCTGATTTCACAACAGTTTTTAATGTTGCTTGTCAAAATTTCAGGTAATTGAAAAGTGACACGGACTAAATATAAAAAAGTACATTTCAGCAACAAAAGTGACTTTGGCTATTGAATTCCTTTGGCATTTAAATTTATTATTTATTTTAATATGTACGATATAAGCAACAACAAATGCACCTACATATAAGTAAAGATAGCGCACATATCCAGATATAATTGCCCAACCCACCCACCACCCAGCCCCACTGTAGCATTATTAACCCCTAAGAAAACAAAGAGGCTGAAACTTGCGCCTACACCCCAAAGCGGGAATTCGAGGAAATGTATCCAGCAAATACATAATATTAGTTTTAGAAGACACTCAAATAATCGATGTTGACAGTAATTATATGAAAATTACAAATTTAACAAAATAAATGTCAACCTCTAAATTAGATCCAAAAGTGATATTTTACTTAAGGGATGCTATGCTTGTGTCAAATTACCTTCACACACTGCATTTGTTTCATTGCAAGAGAATCCCAGTTCTCCGTCACAAATTCTGCCCGTGGCGAACCCACATGGACTTCCCTGGTTTCCAAGGCAACAACCATTATCAGATTTAGGCCTATGTCCGACACACGGATTTAATTCTGTACAGTTCTCTGACCAAGTAAGTTCACATAAGAGTAGGGTAAACAAAATGTACATTATTCCCGTGCACGTTTCCATTGCTGATTGAAAGTATCATACAAATCATTAGAATAATTCACAAATGTTGACAGAATCAAATTCTCTGACTGGTTGACAGGTGCCGTTAAATTATATAATACGTATACATATTATCTTATGATTCCATATTTGCACTGATATCAGTATTGTCATAAATGATACGTTATCACTATACTGAGAAAATATATCGATCCAAGGTCTTTACACACTTTCCACTTTTCAGTATGGATACAAACTATCTCAGTCTGTTGTTAATGCCTTAATACAACATAATTTCCGGGGTTCGTCGTATCTGTTGTTGCTGTTGTGTTTTGGGGCGCTTCTTGCCGATAGTCTGAAGTGTTGAAATCCTACTGTTTTTTACCTCTGTACACAAATAAAATCACACTATCATGCAAGGAAAAATGTTTCTTCTCGTAAAGCAAAGATAATAATGTTCAAGATGAGTTGATGATCTCTAAAGTGAATAATGGCAACTACTCCTCTTTACAAAACCTAACCATTCCATATCTGCGCTGATACTTAGATTGCCATCCTAACTTAATTCTAGACACAACATCATTGGATTTAATGTGCCTTTCAGAAAACCTGCCAGATCAATTTTCACAAGTTAATCTCCTTTCATGCCTTTTCTTGCTGTTTTCGTGAAATATTGTAATGTGTGAACTCTCTGCCAGTTGCATAAATTAAAGTGATTTTTCAGGCCTCAATCCCCGTCTATTACTCGCCGTGCTTTACGTTCTGAATAAGCGGAAAGGCAAACATAGGAAAGGTTACGTTTACATTTTGAGTCGTCAGGGTTTACATTTGTATTTTAACTCGATAGCAAAGAGAGAAAGCTGACAGTATGTTTGTGCAGTACATTTACACAGCAATTGAAGAAAACAACAGTTTTCACATCTGTATATTACTGCCTACGAGTTCACATTGATTTCAACCTAACGTACAAAATACTTGGACTTGATCCAACTAGTTTCACATGTATTCTTTGATGATGTTAGATGTACAGAAACATTGGAATCTTAGTTGCTATTGAATGCAGATTTTATTTAATATTAAAAGGAGTTTTCTTCTCTATAAATATATGGTACATAATTATTTCAGATAGTAATGAATCATATAAAAACTATCATGTACAATTTGTTTTGGCCAGATCTCTCAGGAAAATATTTTACCAACGGACTCAAACTCCTATTCAGGGTACATGCAAAAGTTTGCACAGAGGAAACCATGAATAAATGTGGTATTCTGAAGAAATGGATCACGTTACTTAAATTATTTTTTATCTTCCATGATTGTATTTTTTTAAAAAAAGCTTAAAAAACAAAAATCAACAAAAGGGTGGCGGGATAAGGAATAGTAAATTCAACGATTGATGCACTATGAAATTGCTCAACGGGGAGGTAGACTTCTAAATCTGTCTTGTATAGTCATAATTAGGGAGGGATTTCAAATGATTGGCGTGTGTTGTGTGACAGTGTGAATATTTTCACCTGAATATGTACAGGCAGCTAGTAAATAATAGAGAAATTGATTAAAAATATATCCCTCAAAAATATTTCCAACGCGACAGGAAAGATTCTAAGTCGAATTGTTACACTATTATTCTCTTATTACTTTTATCTCCTGGTGGAATTATACTCCTGTTGTGCCGTCTGCTGAACTATAGTGCATAAACCGAAAGTGATGGAACTGTACCCCACCAGAAAGAAATGTAGAAGGTCAAAAGGAAGAATGTAATGATTTATTTAGTACATCCCATTAGGTTATTTTATATGACGTAAGCGCGTGAAAATAGAGACGCTAGAACAAGTATCATTATCATTATAAAGTAGAGAATCCCCTTAGTCAATGACAAATGAATTATTTTTCTCAAGTGGATTCCTGTAGTACGCCAAATAGAACCAGATAATTTAACATTTGATGTACTAATTGAAAACGAATTTATTAAATAATTACCACCTTAAGCATGAGTATCGAATATATTTATTTTTGAAATAGAAAATAATATCGATGGAAAATACTAAGGGTATAAAGTCTACCTCGATTGAGTTTTGTCTAGTGTTTTGCCAAAAGAGCTGAGATCTTCCCACAAGTGGACTATTTTATGATGCTGTTTTAGGGGAATATTTTATTTTGTTGTTTAGCTTTTTTTGTCATTTTTGTTTGCTTTTTTATGT